TCTGGGACAGAAGTTCAATACAGGCGCTCCTCACTTAACGATCGAGTTCCGTTCCTTCGACTCGGTCATTAAGCGAATTGGTCGATAAGCGAGGAGCCGTCCCTTACCGACCGCAGTCGGCCCCCAGGGAAACAGCCAGGGACGGGAAGGCGCTGGCCATGGCGGCGAGTCCTGGCCGCTGCCCTCCAGGTGGATGCTTCTCCCCCCTCATGGGTTCACGGAGCCGGCTGGAGGGTGCCGGGCTCAGCTCCACGCCCCCCTCAGCTTGACGCTGAGACGCCACGCTGCCAAGACGCCGCGCTGCCGACCAGCTCTACGACTCTACGGAGAGCTGGTCGTAAGTCCGCGCAGTCGTTAAACAGGTAGGTCGTTAAGTGAGGAGTACCTGTAAACTGATTTAACCTAAATTAGTTAAGTCTGATACTACATCCTTCCAGGTTTATTTTCAACCAGTTTTGGCCATTTTGAAAGCAGTTTGTGTGTCTGAACTTCTATTGCGTTACAGATTTGAACCAGTTTCCACTCATTTATACTAGTTTGTGTCATTTCTGTCCCTAGCCTAGGAGTTAAAGCATTTTACCTACTGCCTTCTCTCTTGACATATAGACAATGTGCACCTGAACACATCATGGGGTTTAATCCTCATTAAATTAAATGCAATGCAGGAGAGCAGGACCGCCCCATGCTGTCCCCCACCCTGTGCCCTGCCCCGCAGCTGAGCCAGCGCACAGCACAAGAAAAAAAGAAAAAAGCTGCAGCAATTCAAAAGAAAACTACAAAAAAGTTAGTGTCATCTGATGGGCAAAGAGGCTCATTACACGTCTTTGAGTGCCTTTGTGTTTGCACACAACGAATCCATGGATACGACGCTTTAATTTGCGGCAAGCTAAGCTAAACTATGTCCGAGGAATTTTAGTTTAACGCACCAGAAAGACAAACCCGCTTGTGCAGAATCACATCATTGCAACACAAGAAAGGGCAGAGAAATGTGACGTACAAACACCCAGTGTTACTCAAATGTATTAAACTATTAAACAACTAAGATCAGTAAGTCCTTTAAAACAGTTAAGGAAAACCCACCAGCAAGTTTAGAGTTGCTCCTCACCACCTCAAAATCTTCAAACTTATTCCTGAAGCAAATATCCTGTTTCCTGCCTCAAAGTATCTAGATTTATGTTCAGCTACCCTTGATCAGATTTTCTGCATTCCCAGAGGCTTCTTATTCTTTCATTTATACTTGCCTTCAAAATAGACTTTCGTTCACAAAATCTGTGGTCTGTTTATGCGTTTTTGCTGCAGTGTTCAATTCCCATCTATATTCTGTTCAGCACCTTAGTATAGGGGTTCCCAAACATTTTCCAGTTTTGACCCCACCTACAGACCAATAATTTTCTGCGGCATTAGTGGTAACCGTTTGTATGTCCACAATGAAAAAGAGGCAAAGACTTATGCATGCTTCAGCTGCTTCACAGTAGCTGCCACCAACTACCCAGCAATAGGCATGTCTACACATGTGCTTTAATGCATAGCAGCCTGTTTTACTGTGCATTAGGAGCATAACGGCAAAAACTGTGCTAATGTCGAGTAAAATTAGGCTACTGTACATTAAGTGCCACTAAAAAAGCATGCACATTAGGGTAGCCTAATGCACATTTAGTTAGCACCTCACATTAGAGGTACTAAAACTTAATAAGCACTAACAAAAGTGCATTAATAAACATGTAGACATCCAATGAGAGCTAAACCAAAGCAAATTAACTCAATTGCTTCGACTGCCTGGTTTAGCTTCCACTTACTGAGGGGTAAAAATAAGCTACGTACAAAGCAAGTGGAATAGCCAAGGCATGGTAAAATCCACTTCCCTACTAACTGTGGCCATATAGGGCCAATTCATGCATAGGGGAAATTAAGGGTTCTGTAACTTGGCAACTTTTGGGATAGCATCTTATCCCCTTTAATCTATCCACTTATCTGGATCCCATAACCATATAATTGAAGTACACATGTAAAAATAAAAAGCCTCTGGGACTGGAAGACATCACCAAATCAAGGGCAACAAACTGATTCAGCGTACCTCAAAGTCTTGAGGATATTTATTTTCACAATGCCCTTGTGAATTGCTGAAGTATTAGCATGATTTTGTTTTGTGAAAATGGGAAACTGAGGCACAGGTGGACTGGGTTCCTACCTCAATGATTTCAAAGGGAATTATGTGACTGACTGCTTCTGAAGATCCAAGAACATACACAAAAACTGTGGCAGCTCAGGGAACTGAACCTGGATCTCTAAAGTGCCAGGCCAGTGACTTAACAGCAGGATCATCCTACGTGTCCACATTTTTTTAAGCTTAAAAATATTTACATAGGCAAAATGATCATGTATCACTTCTTTAATGAAATATGCATCACTTTTTAAGTTATAATTTTCTAAAATATTATGCAAGTCACCATTATTTTCAAGTGCTTCTGATAGTTAAACATATATGCTCAAACAGAATCCTTTTTAGAAAGCTGCATATGAATACAGAGAAGAACAGCTGTTAAAATGCCTATAGCCTAGATAAACATCCACTAAACATAAAAGGATTTGCATACTTCATATTAAACACCCATTTAGGAAAACATTTGTAAATATTCATACTTAATTTCTGTAAATGCATTCCTATATATAAAGAACACATTTCTATTGTTTAGGGGAAAAAAAAATCCTTCAGTTTTTTTAAGTGGTGTTTATATATTTTATTAAAGCACTGAGGAAAACAAACCATACGAGAACAAAACTGGTCCAGTGTACATTGCAAGATTCACCCACATTCTGAAAGTGCTTAACCATTCTGTCTTTGGAAGAATTAGTGACCAAAAAAAGAAAAGAAAGAAAGAAAAAAAAAAAAAAAAATCAATTGCCATATTCTATTTGGTTTTTTTGTAATTTACTAAGGCAGATCTTGAAATTCTGAATAAGTGAAAGGAACCTCAGTAATATCAGCTGCAGAGAAAGAAAGGCTTTAAAGTAATTCACATTGATCTGACATGTTGTTAGTCTAGGTAGAGAAAATTAAGAGTCTAAAAAGCAATATATAGTACTTAACAGCAGTAAAGTTTTGAAAATGAGCAAGGGAAGAGTCAGGCAGGAATGGCTAAAGCCTTAAAAATTGAGCGAAATAACTAAAATGGATATTTTAGATATACATGGGGAAATTTAAGGCCTATCAATTTCTAATCATATTCTCCCACAAAACCATCATGTTTCAATTTTATACCAACATAGGCAGGTTGATGCTGGTTCACATGCATCTGCTTGCTGACCCTGGTAAAACTTGATTTTGGAGACCTATACATACATATTTTCTCCTTTCTTTAAAAGAAACATTATTTCAGTGAAGTTGAACAGCTGCACCACATACCTGAAACAATGTTAACATTAATATGGGTAACTGTGGGCATGATTTTGTATGTTCTTTAGCTTTATTATGTTCCAATTTATATTCTCAATGCATTTTTATCCAGTCTAGCTAGCAATTCCTTCAGACCCATCTAAAGTGCTGCAGCAGCCCCAGACTTCTCATTTCTACTCTTCCCCTAAAAACAAAAAAATAATTACCCCACGAAGCACCTGATGCTCCAGCTCACATGCCTCGCAGCTATCTTTTTTTTAGCCCAGGTACATTCAATAACATTCCAAGTCTGACTGATCCTCCACTTTCCTGCTGCAAGTTTAAGATATCCAGCAGTATGCCAACAGAAGCCTCACCTCCTTCACTAATAAAACATCTTTGTCAGATAAATTCTCCCTCTTTCCCATGATACTCTCATCCAGACAAAACTACAGAGGGCTGTGCTTCACATGCTGCCCTGACCACTTAAGACTCTATATCAGATACTCCCAAAAGAGTAAGAGGTAAGAGAACCTCTTACAAATTTAAGTATGATTAATACAAAATGTAAACTACAGAAAAAATAATTAACAGAACAGATTTTGAAAGTGATATTCAAGGTTATATCTTAAGATATAACCTAGAAATGTACCTACCACTGACTAAGTCCATTGAACAGCACAAAACATAAAACAACAACAAAAAACCTAGTAAGTACCAGTATGGAATTCTGAATCAAAAGGGGTATTTAAGACTCAGAACTCACGAGACGAATCCTTGGCCAAATTCTTAAGTGGTATGTAGATCAGCTAATGTTCCACCGCCCCCCGCCCCCACCCCTCTTACACTGTGAATTTGCCAGCACTGTGTAACTTTCTATCCTAGACTTAGGATAGAAAGGAACAATAATTGAAGCTTACAGAGTAGAGGGGTTGAAGAGCTAAACTCAATGATGCATATATAATTAGGAAGGTCAAACAGTGACAGACTGTAAAACTGATTAAGTTATTGCAAAAAAGAAAATAAAGGTACAAGTGTGAGCCAACGAAATACCAGGTACTATATTAATTATGGTAAAACTTATTTTCACAGAGCTTCCAGAGTCCAATTCATACTGTATTTGGAAAGCAATTTACTAAGAAGTAGCATAAGGTAGAACATGTTATGCAAATACCAAGTGACTTCTAGTGACACTAATCACAGATTTAGACGGACTTTACACTGTCCTTCTGTTTTTCCATGATCTGGAGGTCCAATTTCTTCACATAAGAGATGAGAAAGCAATAAACTATTTACTACTGTCTCAGATACGCAGTAAGGGTGTGTGTCTTCTGTCTCCATTTATATTTCAGAAAGATTAAAGGGAAAATAAATCACTATATGCATAACACTAAATATATTAAAGTTATTTGATCTTGGTCTCTCTCAAACTGAGGCTATCTGAGAGACAAATATTTACTTGTATTAAAAGTTCTTAAACGAGGGGCTTATTTAAGTGGCTGTTTTATGTAAATGTTATAGAAAACAAGAGTTTACTACAAAAAAAATTGGATTTGGGATTGCCAGAGTTATTCTTCAGAAGATTTTCCATCTAGTTGGGGCTGACATCATAAAATAAGAACATTACCATTTGGTGCAGTAGGCGGTGACCAGATGCCAAAATATTTTGGCAAGTATTTCCGCAGCTCAAGGAGAACACTGTCACAACAATCAGCAGCAAAAACCTGAAAGAAAACAAACAAACAAGAGGTTGAGGATGTGAATCACTTCAAAATGCACACTATATACCTTCCAGAGTCCAGCAACTATCACCTCTATCCTTGAATATTTAAAGCTACTTCTCAAAACAGTCTACAAAATTTAAATGAAGTATTAAAAAAATATGAGTAATCCAATGCATCTGTGATCTCCCAACTTTCAGAACAGTCAGAACCAGTGAGTTTTCTATTTACAGAGTACTGAGCTAGTTAACTTGAACAAAATTCAGTTAATCTCTGATCAAAATTTACGCTGTGATGGTTTGTATAAAAAAAAAAAAAAAAAAAAAAAAAAACAGGACAGAGTAGAAAAATGAACTAAATCTTCTCTAAATCCTGGATTGGAAGGATTACTAAAGAGTTTAGCCATTTTCAATGTTATCTGGTTTAGTCTACAGATGTAATCTGCATTCTGTTTCCTAACTTCCCCCAAAAGTAACCCAGAGCCGAATTCCCTTGACTGAACTGCACATATTCCTACAACTCATTTGTTTTCTAGAATGCGAAAGTGTGAAGAGAAAAATGTTAGTTGAAGAAGCAGTTGCCCTTTTGTATTTCTGCAATCTCACCATATTTGCCCAAATCCAAGATGACTCTGAATTCAAAATGACTCTCCAATTGGCTCCATGTTGATTACCTCGCCAGAGAGCAGTGCAGGACTCAGTGCCAATTTCTTTACTGCACTATGGCTCCCCACTGGGTGTTGTGCTGCTCCTTGGCTCCCTGATGAACCAAGGAGTGGCAGAGGAATTAGTGAAAAACCAGAGAGCAGAAGAATGAAGCATGCAGCCAGAGCGTGATGAGGGAATAAGTGATGCATCCTGTGCCGCTCTGGCTCCAGACTCATTCCCCCTATGACTTCCGGGCTCAGCTTGAAGTCAAGGAGCAGTGCAAGGACTCAAAGAGCAGCAGGAGAATCAGCACTGGACCCGGCACAGCTCTCTGGCTCCATAATGATTCCTTTCCCACTTCCTGGCTCAACTAGGAGTCAGAGAGCTGTGAGGGAAGTCACAAAGAACAACCCAAGATCCAGTGCCGCCCACAGGTACTTGATTCTAAGACAAGAGTTTGTGCGTCCCGTCCCATCCCGTCCCCCCAACAAATGGGAGAGGGGGTGGGGGGTGGAAATCCTTGTCTTAGAATTACAGTTACAGATAAAATAATTTAACTTCTCACTTATAACTTACATTTTAAATAACTTCCTACAACGTTGTAAGTAAAACCTATCTGACTTGAAGTCAAGTATTTAAAAAAAAATTAGGAACTGTAAGATTTACAACTTTAGGAAAGATGGATCATACAACTTGAATTCTGCCTCTTTTTGCATTTACATTATGATACAGACTTTAAATATATATACTAGTCTTCTCCTCTGCCATAACTCGTTTAATTCATTATGCAAGTTATGAACACAATGGAAGTGGGCTAAAAAAAATTAAGGTTGTAAAGCAATTTGTAAATTTGGTATGTTTTTATAAGCAAGCTGCTTGTTCTTGCCATGTAAATAAACTTTATTTTACCTTAATAATGTATGGTATATGAAAACAAATAATGTGAACATCTCCGAAGCACAAGTCAAAATCTGCCTTTAGATAGCTACTTTTATTTTTGTTTGCTGCAAGGTATTATGGAAGATTAGGCTAAATGTACTCATTCACCTACTGGTCATCATAATTTCACAACTGGCCAATTTTTATAAACATGAATCTTTATGAAAGAATGATGCAACTATTGTAATGCCCAAAATACACTTGTACTGCAAACAGATTTTAGCAAAAAGCTGTGTACATCTTACACTATATCTGAAAATGACTCTCAACATTGCCTACTCCACAATTTTGTGGCATAAAATACTAGAACAAACAAAAATCTTTTTGTTGCGTGAAACAAAGAATTGCTAACAATGTAAAATTATTCTCCTAACTATAAGAGGCAAGAGTTACTCTCTTAAGTTCAACCATAAACAAGATTTGATGTTTCCCTAGTTACCATAGGGTGTTATGTGAATTTCAAAGCATCTTTAACATTTGCACTAGGGACAGCAGCTGTAGATAAATCAGTTGGTGATCAGGAACTGGTTTAAACCTGTGACAGAACACAAGTTCAGTGGACCTAAACTGCTTTCAAAATGGCCAAAACAAGTTTAAGATAAACCTGGATGGATGTAGACTTAGCTGATTTAAGTCAAACCAGTTTATGGAACTTCTGTCCCAGATTGCCTCCCCATTCAAGTCAACTCAAGACTCTTCCAGAATCATAGGATGTGGGCTGTGTTCTCTGCTCCAGTGGAGCAGAGCTGGCCCTGGCCCTGCCCCTAGCTATCAGAAGGGGCTTTTCCATCCCACACAGCCAAAAGCCAGGTTCATCCCCCTGGCTGATGAGGGGATGAGGCTGGGGGAAATCAGCCTGGCTCCCGGCTTGGGCAGGGACAGTAAAGCCCCAATGTGGGCTTACCCTGCCTGCCTCAGAGTCAGGTGCAGAGGGAGCTGGACAACCCCCCCCCACCCCCTTCTGCTGGAAGAGGGGGCACGGCCAGGTGATCAACACAGCTCCTGACTTCCAGCTCGGAGTACATCCCCCACTGCAGCATCTCCCTCCCCCCTGCACTGCCTGCACCAGGCACAGCCTGGCTGGGGGTTCAGATCCAGGCACGGGAGGAGCTGTTTTTCCCCACCCCACTCCCTCCTCAGCCAGCCAAGGAGGGGGTGTAGCTATGGGACTCACCAGGCTCTCAGCTCTGAGGGGGGAGGAAGAAATGCCCCACTGAGGGCTTCCCTCCTTACGCCAGCTTCTCAGGCTGCCCAGGGCTGAGGAAAAGGTGTAGCTAGGGGATTTGCTTGGCTCCTGATCTGTTTGGGTCAGGTCTATGAAACTACATAGCAATTGTCAGTGCAGTATGACATAGAAAAAAAAAACAAACAGGATTTTCTATTAAAAATATTTACTCATCATTTTTCTGCCAGAAAGATAACAAAACAGCAAGCTTCACTTCTTCTCACTTATAAGTTTTGCATAAGAAAAATCAGTAGCACTTCACAGGATCTGCAGCCTCAGGCAAAGTGTTAACCTTTAGCAACTTCTGGAGGCTCAAAAGGGCACAACAAACCCTGACCTATCGTTCAAATGGTCACAAACTCCTGGAAGAAGACTAATTTAGGCTGGGCATAAAGGAAAAACTTCTTTACTGTCCAAGTCCCCAGGGCCTGAAATAGACCTCCCCCACCCAATCCCAAGGTGGTGCAACTTACTCGGGATACTTTCAAGAAACATTTGCATGCCTATCTTGCTGGAATCATTTGACCCCAGCTGACCTCCTGCCACTTGGGCAGGGGGCTGGACTCAATGGTCTTGCAAGGTCCTTTCCAGTCCTAATGTCTATGAAATCAAAGGAGTTACACTGTAAATCTTCAGCATAGGAAGAGGAAGGAAAAAGGGAATCTATCAGGGACACAGAGCAACAGCGCTGAGGACAGGATCTTCTCTGTACAGCTGGGTTTTTAAATACTCACCAAAACTGGTCTCACAATAGGTAATACAGCAATTCCCAAAGGGCATGCTGTGGCACACTAGTGTGCCATGGAAGCAGCAGAAGTGGGTCATAAAAAATGCATTGGTCACAACACACTGACCAACACAACAACACTGACAAAACTTTTGAGTGCAAAGTCCCTTAGTTTGTGAAAATCCCCCACTGTCACCATTTAAAAAGATTAACCAAAAAAGCCTTTGTTCATATTATTCATTTCAATAGCACTTGTTAAAGTGGCCAAGACAATATGAATACCAATGTTATAAGCTTATTTTATTACATTTATAGTTCTGTGATTACTTTGAGACAAAAAACTGCCACGACTTAGCTTTTCTTTCTAGAAAAATCCCTAAAAAGCTAAGAACTGCAAAGTATGAAATACCAGAGAACTTTCAGTGGTTGGCACACAGCTACAGGTATCCCTTCACAAGTGCTACAACTGATCACACAAAAACTGTTCTCTAGCACACGTGAGCAAGTGAACAGCATTCCAGTTTCTACAGAATAAGTAGTAAACATCAAATAGCTGCACTCTTTTTTTATTTTAATAGTTTACACAATGGAGCCCCGAGAGCTAGAATTTTAAAATTCTACAATGAACTATATAAATCTCAGTCACTTTCCATCCTCTCAATTGTTTTGGTTTTTAAATGCCAAATTACTTGCTCTCCAAACCATTTCTCTCTTCCTGAACTTTATGCCTTATTCAGAGTCTGCAGGAGAAGACGACAACTGTTATTTTGATGGAATAAAGAAAGAGAAGCATGGTAATAACATTAAGAAGCTTCTTGATCAGAGCCTGAAGCAAGGCATAAAGAAGGGCAACTAGATTCAGCTACATAGCCACAATGGATGCAGTTAATAAAAAAAATCTAGTTTGTCATACCAAGGAGGAAGGAGGATGGGGGGCAGAAGGGAGGAAGAAATTAAGTACAGATCTATTTAACACATCAAATTCAAACTCAGTTCCAACTACAGAAGCTAACAAATCAGACACAAAATACCAATCATAAGCACTAGGTTACTTTCACTGTGGAAAATTCAATACAGCATGTAGTGCATTTTTTAAAATCATGCATTAAATACATTTTGTGGTTACCTATAATAAAATGTTTTTAAATGTGGGAACTAGCAATGATATCTTGGTATTTTTGCAGTGGAAACCACAGTTTTGTTGGGGGTTTTATTTGGGGGGGGGGGTTGAAAAAAAAAGATATAATAATAATAATAATCATTATGACATGCTCTTCCAAATCACTTACCAACTGTTCACCACAGCATTTCTATTAAATATAATTTAATAAACTTCTGCATTACCTAAAGTATAATATACCTTTGAGTCATAGCAACTTATTTAGACAATATAACAGTGTATCATCTGTAGTTAGATTAAGCTATAATTACATATGGGATATTCTAATACAACTAGAACAGTAGT